ATTAAAGCGGCCTATCTCCCTTTCTGGTAAGCTAGCGAGAGCTTCCATTCACCGGAGGCGTTTCCAGGAAAGTTTCCGGCAGGACGTAATCCCGGGAAAACCGCGCGGAGGGCAAGGATGCATCCCCGCACACCACAATGCAGTGCACGCCGCCCATTGCAATGTAGTGTTCACCAAACCAGCAGGCGTCGAAAATTCTGGTGCACCCCGCAGGATAATTTTGGATTGACCATCTAGCTTAACGGCTCTTGAGGATAACTTTACTGCATCCTTAGAAGCAAAAGCTTCCAATCGACTTTCTAGTTCTGTAATTCTAAGCAATGCCGCAGACAGTGATCAGCGGTTAATATACATGTACTAGTGTCTGCATCCTACGATCGGGGTGACAACGAACGCATTCCAGATACATCAAGTTGAGAGTGAGTCAGAACTATTCAACTTGTTACTGCGGCAATGGCTGTGTAAAACCGAGGTGACGACACCTATCTAAATGCACGGTATGGGCTGTGAGAATGAAGGCCGGTGGGCAAAATAAGTTGTACTGAAGCAACATTGGTTCTACATAAATTATCATGAAGTACATAGAAACGTAAAACGTACGAATAGGTGAACGGACTCGTAATTAGCTACAGATATAATTCCACGTGGTCAGTTCAGGCAGTCCTCGCTCATTTGAGGACGTAATAAGTGGTGCATTAAAACAGTGTTCGGATGTCTAAGCTTTGCATAACTTTGTGAGTAAATAATGAAAGTTTATATAATAAAAACTAAGAGGAACATGTAAAATGAGCAGTACAGTTAATTCAGATTCTGAATGTGATCAATGGTAGTGATTTGTCCAGTCATCATGGTTAAAAAGGCGAACAAAAAATGTGACACTTGTAAACATAGATAGTAGTAAAGTTACACAAACGAATCAGGATTGCACAGTATCAGTTACGTCGGTGAATTAGGAATTCACAGAGGGTTCGATCAGTACGGTTCAGGATTCCCTTTGGTGCTGTCTACCTTTAAGTGGTGACGACGCTCGCTTGGTGTCTGTTGTTTACTGCGCTCTAGCTTCCATGTGGTAGATGGGTTTCACTCTAGGATCGGCTCCGAGGTAATAAACGAGAAGTACAGCCACATCCTTCTCGATGGCGTTTTTAGTATCTACGCAATGGAAAGTAAGCCTTCCAGAGCACTGTTCATTGGGTCCACAGGAGCTTCCGTTTTACCGCCACATCAACACACCCACCGCCGTCTATACTGGATCGGATATTCACTGACGAAAACTCATGGTAATCCAAGTCTGTGATCAAGTAGTACTGCTCCTCGAATACATCACTTGTGCAGAATATCTCTAGAAGCCACTGGGAACTAGTATACACTACGCTACAGCTCGACTAGATGAGACAACCAAAAGGACCTTCTGTCTAGCGCATGGCGATTCTTCGTCGTTTAGTTTCACACAATAGCCGCTCAAACATCGGGAATTAAGGCTGTTCACTCAAGAAACGCTCTCGTTTGTACAAAGCAGAACGCATAAGCATGTTGCGGTGTACATCTATAAGATCTCCCTGAACACTGAGATCAGATTTGCCTGTGACGCTCAAAGCAATCACCGTACTCCCCCGGGGACAAAATAACATAAAGTATCAACTACCAAACCTTATGGTTTCAGGTCGTAAGTGGCTATATCAGCACGAAAAAAACCGTGAAGAGGGGAACGCCTCCTCTGTAAATAGCGGATGAAATAAAACTGGCCACGAAGGACGCGGCGAAGGCCATACAATGTTTTATGCTCCGAACCTTCGGCGCTATCGGTGGTCTTGTGGGCTATTGAGCAAAACGCCCCGGGCGGAGTCCCTCAAGCAAAGCTCCAAAGCACAACCGCCACCTCGCGTGCGATTGCCCACCAGTGCAACGTGTGCACACTACTACACGGGAACTCGAGTGAGCGTCCCGAGAGATGCCGTGCACTGGTCGCAATGAAACTGGCGCGCTACTACATCGATATTGCTGCGTTCAGTAAGTCTCGGCTCGCTGAGCAAGGTAAGTTGCATGAAACAGGTGCTGGCTACACGTTCTACTTGGTTGGCAACGCCACCTCAGTACCATGTGAACATGGGGTCGGATTTGTAATATCCGATCGCCTCCATGGTCAGCTGATGAGTGAACCAAGAGGCATCAGCGGTTGTCAGTGGTGTGAAGCAAGGCTGTGTCTTAGCTCCTACCCTGTTTAATATTTAGCTTGATGCAATGGGGTGCTTTTAATGCCGCTTTTGCTTACGGTGTTCGTGTGGAGCACCTTTTGATGGTGGGTTGCTGAACACCCGTCGTTTCGGTGCGGGAACCCTAGTCTATGAGATAACTATCCGTAGGTTGCTGTTTGCAGACGACTGTGCGTTGCTTGCGTACAGCTGACACATTATGATCATTATTATTATTAGCGGGTGGTTCAAGTGAGACGTTCCAAGGCGCGCAACTAATTAAACTCATTAGGCTCGCCGGCGGAGGAGGCCAGTTGAATTCCGTGCGGGAGTGTTCAGCCCAGCGGTCCGTGCGCCTGTATAAGCTGCTTATCGGCGTTCCGTCAACCTCGCAAATGACCACACTGACACTAGGTCTTTTGTGACCAGTGGCCCAAATGACCAGGAAGAGCTTGCAAAAGTTTGCAGAGGACTGTCATTTCCACCTCTGAGGCGCGCTGGGATCACCTAGTTTCGCGATCAGCAGGCACGCTGCTGGCTGAGGATGTGATGCATTGCACTACTATTTGAAATGGTCGGAATAGCTCTAAGGCGACCAAACAATTCCAGTGAATGCGCCGAAATCCCGCTCCTCAGAGGGCGTCTTGTGATTCCGAAGTGGCCAAAAAATCCTACATCAAGTGTTATATATCACCAACACTCATCAATGTATATCTTACGACAGAAACTGTGACAAAAAACCGTTGTGTATTCGTAAGCACAGCTCTTCCCGGGGTTGATCATATTCACCCGACGTCACTCGCCATGGTAGGAGAGAGCTCACTTGCGTCTTTGGCTCCATTCTTCCAGCGTTGTTATGAACAGACGTACGTACCCGACATGTGGAAATACGGGATGATTATTCCAACTCACAAGAGAGGTAATCGTCCCATCCAGCCAACTACCGTTCTGTAACCCTTCTACCGGTACTCACTAAGATCATGGAAGCCATTGTTGCCGATGTGCTAACGATTTACTTGGGGGAATGCACCCACCTTGCATAGGAACAGCATGGTTTTCGACGAAATCGATTGTACATCACCAGTTTGTTGCTATGACGATCCATCCGGACTGAGGCAGTAGACACTGGAGGAGGAGTTAATGTAGTCTATCTCGAAGGCATTAGGTTGGTTTGAATATGGCATCCCTTTTGCAAATTACAGGACTTCGGCACTGGTGATCCTCTCCTACAGTGGAACAGAAGCTTTCTTCTCCACCGGTGTTTGGAGGTACGTGGATCGCTGTCAGATCCCATCCAAGTCGAATGCGGAGTATCACAAGCATGTGACACCACATAAATTCGGACATACCGATGAGGGCAAGGTAGGAAGAACGGATTTGAATAGGATGTAGGGATGGTCAATACAAAATCTACTTCCATCTAATGTGGAACATGGTAGACTGCTGCACTTAGGACACCAGCTAATGTGTTAACATAAACCGCTCAACCAGAAGCTTCAAACGTCTTCCAGCGAGAAGGATAGGAGCGCTTGGATTCAGACCGACCTTGGCTGTCAGGATCAGGCTGAAATGGCGTCAGAAAGGGGCATCAAACGTGGATCTTTTGCACCGTGCATTGCGACGCTTCGAGTCGTCAAATTTACATGAGCATCCCGGCACATACGCCCACACGTGGAATACGCAACACAGGTCCGGCGGCCATAGCTAAGGAGATATCCAATGGATTTCGAGATACCTCAACGCCGGGTTCAAAGGCCTGTACTATTTACTTTATAAACAAAGGCTGCGAATGTCCGAGGTCACCAGCAGACCATACCAGGGATTGCGTACGTTTATTATGACCTGTTAGATTTTGAGGGACCTTAACCACCGGTGCCATCACAACAGAAATATGTGAGTCCAACATCTCAAGTTAGAATGTCGTCGTAATTTCTTTTGTAGACGTGCTTGCCACGTATGGAACGCCTTTTAGGAATCTGTCATCAGTGGCTTCCAGGTTGGTGGAGTTCAAAGCTCGAGTTAACCGTGCGCTCATTTCTCTGCATTATCTCACATGATTTACTGAACACTGCGAAACACCAGTGTCTGTTTAGGAGTTTACTGCCGGTCGGATGACGCAAAACGTGCCACATGTTCACCAGGAGGTGACACGGCTTACAAAACGGTTTACTTGTCTTCAATCGTTATGGATTTGCAATTTCGAATGCGGTGGGTTCACCTGCGTGAACTGACATTTTGCTGGCACCTTCTTAATGGTTTATAATATTCATCTTGATCATCTTACGGAGCCTACCAGGCTTGAGCTTCTTTATACCTAGTAAACCTTTGCCCCACTGTATATTAGTACTAAATGACCTCGCCTATAATGTTTGATTGTTGACACAACTAAGGCCATAAAAACGCTGCGCGAGGAGTAGTACCATTTTCCTCCTAGATCATGCATTTTTTATTGATATCCTTAGAGTACGTCAGCAGTCATGGTGTAAATGCCGAAAATGAACCCATTTGGGCTTGTTTGCGTATTTTGACTTGACTTCTGGATGTGCAAAAAACGGATCCAAAGTAGCCAGAGCTTGAGGAGCTGCGGTTAAGGTTACGAAAACAAAAACTTCCCGGATGGACAGGCGGAAGCGTAGAGATTTTGTTAACAGTTTACCGTTTGAAACTATCCTGCTGGCGAGTGGAAGCGCAAATTTACGTACCAAAGGACGATTTTCGAGTAAGTCAGACGTAAGAAACGCAGGCTTGAAGCACGCAATGCGAAATAGGAATACTAAGCCGGACGGGGAGAAAGAACAGATGCAGATCTTGATCTTGGTTGATAGATAAATCGTCGCATTGAATGTATTTGTCAGCAGTCGAAAAACAGACACGCACCATCTAAATACGCTTTCGTGATATGACTGTGTTGAGAATATTGGTAGTTAAAAAACGCCACGGGGTAAAAAAGCTAGGTGATGACAGGATAGAAAATGAAAGCAAGTGCGGAGCAGAATAGACAATCCATTCGTTGAACCTCCCGCGGAAAACCTGAGCAAACTGCCGCCAGTATGCTTGCTTACACACCAAAGGTGGAGCGGCGACTAAAGTGAACCTAGGCAAGTTAGATCGGTTCCACATAATTGGACGGTAGCATTCCGAACTGTCCTGTTCGTTGCACTGTTCCATACATCCATCCGTCAGTGATAGGATCTCCATCAAGGATGATATCCCCTTCAATGAACGTGACTTCGTCATCTTCCCTGGCCTCATAATCATACATTGCACGATATGTCTGCTGGAAAAAGACAAGGTTTCAGTTAGGTTCTTGGTTTCTTGAGAGTAGGTTCTTTATGTTTGTTATGTATCAGAAGCAATGGATAATCTAGAAGAAGCAAACCTGAGATGTATCCGAAGCTATCAGCCATGGAAATTTGAGTTATAAGAAATAAGGAATGAACTTATGGTTGTCTTCAATCGCATTCTAATTGGTTGACAACATCCCGTTCTGGATTTCCCTCATGACGGAGCCGCGAACAGTCGCAGGAATCATGCGCCTTTAGAAGCATTACAAGTGGTTTGTGCTGCAATACCGTGGTACTGCGCACATGCTTCATACCTAAAGTAAATGGTAATTAGGAAGGCGAGGACACATGCGAGCAGGAACCACGATTGTTATGGAACCGCCCATGCTTCATCAATACGGGCATAACCTATGGTTAAGTTGATCAGGAAGATAACATTGTATGGTAACTAGCTTCATCGTACAAATGTCCAGGGCGTTTTGTGGTCACCTGACCCATGCGACATCGGTGCCTAATGGTCGTTAATGTACATTCTGTATAAGCACTTGTATCTAATCCCACCACGAAGACTGTGATCCAGCAACAATTAATCGCCTTCGGTAACCATGCTTGGTACATGTGGGGCAAGTAGATGCCGTGTCACTATTCGCATAGCACACTACGGTCAAAAACATGATGTACTACACTAGGATAAAAGTTTGGCATGCGATAAAGCACGCTCAGCCGACGAGGCGCGTAAGCGATATGCAGGTTGTATCATACTAATGTGGTGTTAGGAAAACATAAGAAAGGTCAGTTCAGACTTGGGTTTGTGACACCAAACAGAAGCTGTCTCGGATGAAATTAAATACAAACAAACATTATCGATTGGTAAACGAACCCATGGATGCCACTTTGACCCAAAAAGCGATTGTGCAGCCAGAACAAAAGGGGCATCCAGATCAGCTAGTAAACATGCACGACCTGAGGACTTCGTTCATTGGAACGGCGAAGCACTTATGGCACGGTAAATCAAATTTGTATGCAGGCAGGAACGAAGTGAGACTTACCATAACAGGATCGGCCTTCATCGTTGGGCATGTAGCGGTTGTGACCACTCCAGATTCAGATGAAAAGCGGTAATTTTGTCTAAAGTGTCACACAGTTGGCGCGTTAGTCATTCATGGAAATAACATGTACGCATAGCATGAGCTCCATCAACCACACAGCTGTCGGTTTGAGGTGATAAATCACATGCAAAAGTCAAAAGACAGTGGTAAGCGACGCGCGGGCATTCCCGACGAAGTTACAAAAACGAATCATGATGAGGAAGTGTTTGGAATGTTCACAGATGTCACGTGACTCAACGGAGAATACACAAATCCCGGTGGCTGGGCGAGCTAACCAGTACTGAGCTCCGATGACAGAACCGGACGCGTTTCAAACGGTGACTCGTACCCTCAGACACTCACAAATGCATTCCCATTAAAAAGTGGCGTGCAGAAGGCGTTTTAAAAGTATCGGCCAGTTAGGCTTGTGTCATGTCGTGTAAAGCATATTCAATTACCACGAAGTGAAGTTAAACCGTTCGTCTTGTACCGCAGCTACCTGTTCAATGTGTTGCGTGCAGCAGTGGGGGGGGGGCGACGGCCAGTTCAGAGACATAGAAACCTCATACCGGAAAAATCATACTAACCTTTCGATTATCACAATGACCGAATGAGACCATGTTAGCAGTTTTACGCGCGAAGCGCCATGACTGATGTCTTCTGCCTGAAATACCAGCACCAATCCGTTCGAAACAACATTACCATGACGAATAATCCAGGAGAGGTGGGCAGGAGGTACGGCGATACCCAGTGTAAATGCTGCTTGAGATTCAACAACGTACCTCGTAGTTTATTCGAAGTTCGACAAGTGTATGTGTGATTGTGTTCAAAAATAATCATCCCCAGGCGAAACCGTTTGACAATAGTAACATGCACCGTGATCGTCCATCTTACTCCCTCTAACACACACACATGATTTGGCGGCGTCCGTATCCGGATTTGCCTCTCACTGTGACGTCCATGGGGACAGTCACAGGACGCCTGCGCCTACAAAAGGGACCATGGGTGGCTTGCGCTGCACCACCCATAGTTCCACCCACACACCCCATATCCGGTGTAAACCCGAAGGAATAAGACCGGGAGGCATGCGAATGGGAGCCACGTTTCATCAACGGAGCCGGCCCACACTCCTTCAACAAGCAGAACGGAAGCATTCCAGCCTAATTGGGAATTCATACACACCAGACGTACACGAGGCGGTGGCTGGACCGTAGCCCGTTCCACACAGGTTGTATGGAACCACTCTTTGAGCCTAGCACCGTCACGAGGACGATGCACTCCGTCCCCTCCAGCGACGACCAACTGTGTCCTGGAGACAGTATGGACGAGGTAGTGGGTAATAGACAGGTAGGCACCTTGTCAACATTCACATCAGGCGCATCCACACCGGGGAGCTCAAGCAACATCTACTTCTGAAATGCAAGATTATTCATCACGCAGGCAAACGTACCACATACGCCGCCTTATTGGCCTGGATTAGTAAATTGAACGGGAACATACTCATGAGGCTTCTATTCCGTATACAATAGTGCTTTCTTCCGTACCTGAGCAACCGCCCTTTTGAGCAGTCCACGGAATTCGCATCGATCAAATTTGCCTTGGATTCGCAACACTTGAAATCAACATGAGTTCGTCATAAACTCACCTTCTTCATGTTCTGGTAATGTTATTTTCGGTTTGCTCGAATGTAGTTTTACTGCACTAAGTTAACCGTACAAAAGCGGTATGAAGGTCCTGGTGGAATTCATTCGGTATACACATATATACATAGATTGGTGTCATCTGTATCCAATGGCAGTTCGAATGCAACATATGCACATGTGTTTCCACGGACTTCATTATTAACTGTCACATACATATAGTAGAACACTCCAAGTTGACCACTACTATAAGTTAACCGCTTTTTCATGGACTAAACGTTCCCCACGGAAATTTTATGACACCAGACCAGATCACTTGGGCCATAAGACTCACTACTAATTTAACCTCTACAAGTTGACCATGTGAAAGTTTACCGTGCAATGGTCGCCGATCGTTTGTTCAAGCAACAAAGTGTAGCGGGATTTTGCAATGTGCGAAATTCTTCTGATCGACAACTACTGCACTTGACGGCTTCGCCGATGTTGTGCAGTACAGCATGCTCTCTGTCTGTGTAGGTGCGCCGTGCTTCTGACCCACCCCACAGTGTTCACGCGCGTCGGTATTTACCTTGTACAATGTGTCTTCACGAGTCCGCACTTACAAATGAACCTTGACTGCTTTGTGTGAAATCTTTCCACACACAAATAAGCATAAATACTACTTTGGAACATGTGCCCACGTAGTGCACAGTTCGCAGTCAGGAGGGCCTAACTTATTTCCGTCAGGGTCACAATAAATTTGGACGCCTCTCACACATAGCTCACACGATAACGATACTAGAACGAGAGCCACGCGTCCCACCTACTCGAATCGTACCGACTTCGCTCATTCGCAGAGAATCTACCACGCTTGCTATGCATGATTCAGATATCTCCGCATCTGAGCGATCCACAATGTTCCAACACTTGATCCGAGAGGCTAGCCAACTACTCCTGCTATGTGCAGAATTAAGCCAAGCACGGGTGAAGGAGCTTCGAAACTTGTCAGACGACTCTCTCACCCATCATTCCCGACATGAATACAGTACGCGCTTCGACAACCTTTGTCAGATGTGGTTTCCACATAACGAGGTCATCCAAACCGCACAAATACACTAAAAACGTTCAGAACAGTAAACAACGACATAGATCCCAGTTGGTTACGTTTGACGCTATTATCATCCGCGTCCGGAAGCGGTGACAACGGTGCTTTATGGTAGATGGTGTTTCTCCTATCTACAAGAAGGGGAACGAATCCCTGGCTTATCGAATACTGGACAGGGGTATTCTCACAGCCACCAGCGCCTGGTCATCGATCCCCGCGCGGGATCATTCCGTAGTTGAATTTCGCACATCGTTACGCCAGATGATTCGCTCAGCGCAGGGCGTCGACCGCATCACAACGAAAAAGGTTGAACGCATGGATTCGAACTCCGTTACAGCTTTTCTGAATGGCGTTCTTGCCTTTTACCCTACCCTGCTTACCCTACTTTCCGAGTCCCTACCTTTTTATTGATTATCAGTCTTTCTACTATTCCTCGGCGATCTCAACGTTCTGGGAGGTAGGAATTCACCCAGAGCGAGGCCTTAGACAAGGGGATCCACTTTTACCCCTACTTTTTATCATGACGCTCAACGAAGGCCTTCAAAAGCTTGCCCTCTGTCACTGGATTTGCCCCGTGGACCCAGTCGATTATGTTGCATACGCGGACGACGTGATCATCGTAGCAGAAAGCAAAGCTGCATTACGGGAACGACTCCAGACTTTTCACAACGACCTACAACTTATCGGCCTTTCTATAAACCAAATAAAAACTAAAACCGTAAATATCGTTATCGATATTTACATGAAGAAAGCGCTACCAGACACTTCTGAGCTTCAAGTGGGATCGACAGACCTAACACCAGTACAACCGGCGGATTCGTCTAAGTTCATGGGTTTACCTTTTAACTGGCACGGCAAGCTACTATGTCACTCGTTCGATGAGCTGCGCCAGCAACTCCAATAAACTTCGCAAGCTCCATTGAAACCATGTCAACGAATTGAAATTCTCAGAACATTCCTCATCCCATGGCACATCCGCAGCCTATTGCTGGGAGTAATACATCGATACACCCTCAGGACGATGGAAAAGTAATCAGGGCTAAGGATATAGCCGTCGCTTTTTCCATGCATCCATCAATGACCACAGCTGAAATGTTCCTAGTCTTCCAACCATGTTGCCATTACTTAGGAAAGATAGAACTTTTCAACCCGAATGTCATCTTGAGCTGGGCCATTCGTGATCCCTCCGCTTCGGCGATAAGTAGGCCAGCGACTTCGCCACTCAAAGTAGGTGTACAAACTGTGACGGACAAAGCTTCGTCAAAGGAGGCATGGAAGACTCAGCTACTCGTTACCTTTGACGGATGCCCTCTATGTCAAGCACCAACGTATCCAATTGCTTATCGATGGCTCCGGCAACCTGCACGCGTCTTCCTGCACCCATTTATCAGGGCAATTCAATTACGCGCAGGCATTCTTCCTACAAAAGTCAGCCGCGCCAGAGGCAGACCACCGCATTCCCCATCCGATCTCAATTGCCGCGGTACATGTGGTCAACATGAACCAATGTCTCACTGCTACGATCCTGCAGCGTAACCCATGATGCATGCTGCAAACGGCACAATGACCTTGCCAACCACGTCGCAACGATTCTACGGCGTCGGAGAACTACAGTCATTCCAGAACCACGCATGCCCACGTCAACAACCTACATCAAGCCAGATCTACTCATCAACCGGGACGCTACTATCTACGTGATGGATATGGCTATCTGTGACGCAAACCGGATGGCTGAATCTTACCAAAAGAAGATTGACAAATACGGCGTCGGTGATCACGCAGCGGCCATCAGAAAGTACGCACAAACTGCATTCTCGGCAACATCCTCTATTGTGCATTATCCGCTCCTTAAACAGTAGAGAGTATATCCATCCCGCGTCAGCCAAACATCTGTTGCCATCGGGTCTCTCGACCCTGGATATTTTCGATCAGTGCATCTCTACCATCTGAAGAACCATACGTGCGTTTTTATATGCGAGATGCACTCCACCAAACACAATCTTTATGACAACACAAACAGACACATAGGAGGGGTGCGATCCTTGACCGAGTTCCCCGAGCATGTGTTGAGTCATTTGCTTATTATTATGTCAAGGCATTCGTCCCATCTTGGCAAATGTCTGTACTGCTCATTTCTCGATCCATGTATGATTTGTCGAGAACAAATGTTCCTCGATTAACCGGTTCTAAGCTAACCCTCTCAGCACTTGTTCATTAGCGTCTTGGATAGTAGTGACGTCCAGTGATAGTCGAACTCTATTCCGCGCTTTCTGTTTGCCTGAGAACAAAAAAATGTTTGTCGTTGTATGTAATTGACTCTAAGCTTGGATCCCCTTTGTGCTTTGTATAGTTAGGGATCGGCTATTACGCCTATCGAAGCATTATGGTCTAAATGAGACTTCAAGAAGTTAGCGCTGAAGAAGTAATCTACATTTTCTGGAAAGCAGCAGCCAAGGAAAGACGGCAGAACAGTTCAGTTAACAAGACAAAAGTTATGAACATTCAACACCATAAGCATGAGTACTTGGATGGATACGATAATGAGAGATCAACAGCGGAAGAAAAATACTCACGATGAAGTCAATGATGCTACGCTGCGTTGGTTCAAACAAATGTGAGTAGATAATGCTGGAATCTCAGAGCCAATGATCTAAGAAATTACCGAAAAAGATTCACAAGAATTCTGGGATACAGATTTTAAAGTATTTAATGGTGGGCTAGGGAAATTAGAACCGCCTCCATGGGCGTGCCTCGCATAGTTGAGAATAAACTATTTATTTATTTATTTATTTATAATATGTATCAATCTTGAGTGGTGAATCCTGTGAGTTTCCTAAAAAGTTTTTTCAGGAATTAACTGAAGAAGTACCCGACTTCAGCAAGGGTTTCAGCGATGGTGACAGTTGTAACGCTGACGAGTGCGGTCTTTTCTACAAATCGATGCCCGACAGGAGCTTTGTTATAAGGGGTGACAAATGTTTGCCTTCAAATATGACCTCAAAAATTTAAACTTTGAACCAAGCAATCAACAAAACATTCAAAACGTATTACTGAGCCCAACTAATGCAACGGGTTATTAGCGAAAATGAATCCCAATCATCCGTATGCAGTAAACACTTCATCTACTGATTTAGCTTACGCTATGGATGCTGTGTTGTGGACAAGTTCCGCTTGACACAAATTTCAGTCAGAAACAATACAGAGGTGATTCAAGAGATCTGGATTCGTTGAAACTCTCGGGCAGGGACGCTGTTGATTTAATAGACATTCCATGTCCCATTACAGATTTTGAGGGAATAAATTTTCAAGAGTTGGATGATATGCAATATGACATGGCAACCTGCACTGAACCAGACGCAGATGCCATTTTCTATGGGATACTGACTACGGTACACCGTTACGGGAACAAACAAGAAGCGCCTTATATATATATATATATATATATATATATATATATATATATATATATATATATATATATATGATTAGGCGGCGTCCGTATCCGGATTTGCCTGTCACTGTGATGTCCATGGGGACAGTCACAGGACGCCTGCGCCTACAGAGGGACCATGGGTGGCTTGCGCTGCACCACCCATAGTTCCATCCACACACCCCATATCCGGTGTAAACCCGAAGGAATAAGACCGGGAGGCATGCGAATGGGAGCCACGTTTCAACAACGGAGCCGGCCCACACTCCTTCAACAAGCAGAACGGAAGCATTCCAGCCTAATTGGGAATTCATACACACCAGACGTACACGAGGCGGTGGCTGGACCGTAGCCCGTTCCACACAGGTTGCATGGAACCACTCTTTGAGCCTAGCACCGTCACGAGGACGGTGCACTCCGTCCCCTCCAGCGACGACCCACTGTGTCCTGGAGACAGTATGGACGAGGTAGTGGGTAATAGACAGGTAGGCACCTTGTCAACATTCACATCAGGCGCATCCACACCGGGGAGCTCAAGCAACATCTACTTCTGAAATGCAAGATTATTCATCACGCAGGCAAACGTACCACATACGCTGCCTTATTGGCCTGGATTAGTAAATTGAATGGGAACATACTCATGGTGCTTCTATTCCGCGTACAATTGTGCCTTCTCCGGCACCTGAGAAACCGCCCTTTTGAGTAGTTCACGGAATTCGCATCGATCAAATTTGCCTTGGATTCGCAACACACACACACACACACACATATATATATATATATATATATATATATATATATATACATTGTGTAGACGCTCTGTAACTTGACCACCCAAACGACTGGAAGAAAGCGCTCAAAATAGTGAGCTGGTAAATATACGGATGTTGCATGTTAAATGTTCGGGTAACCTATTTTCCTTTTGTGATAGTATGATACGAAATATACTTAATAAACATAGATACATACTTCCACACACACACATATATATATATATATATATATATATGCGGTCAACCATATCCGTTTCTTTCTCTGCCTGCCCCGATGGTAGTGAACATACCCTGGAGCCACAGTTGCTTCGGGGCCGACGCACACACTTTGATCTAAAAAAACGAGATAGGGTGAGTCACAGTGCAGTATCTGCTTCATGGACAGTTTGAATGTTTGATCTATCTTCGCGCTGAATGCTGCCACGAAGACTGTGCACCCTGCCTATCGATGCAGCGATTTTCCGTTTCCTATATGCAGTAAGCTTGGTCTTCATTTCGACCAGGTGGGCAACCTGGTAACATTCGCATCGAGTGCAGCTAGACTAGGATACGAACGCTACGCAAATGCCGGACACTCAGGTGTAGCCGGGCACCCACACGAATTTGTGACGTCAGTGTAGTCTCGTATAGGCTCAGCGGAACACGAGATGTTCCGGAAATGTAGGTAAAACGAATGGAAAGATGTGCTACAGACATGTTTCACCTGAAATGCCATTTAGCCGCGCAACGTGGATAGGACGATTGCACCTTATTGCCAAATAATGAACAGTACTTCGTTGATTTTATCCAAACACTTGGCACCTTTTCCGATATCCCCTTTAGTCGCCGCTTGTTAAATACAAGTGTGACCGCGAATCAAGCCATTAGCAGGTCTACCTCTATACTTGCATCGGTCGCACGACATCTTAGTAAGCAGGCGTCGTGGTGCGAGTTGATGTAGCAGCCTCGATAACTGGGATAACACACGCGGATTGAACGAGTTTTTGCAGATGGCTCCTACGTTTTTACTAACGGTGTTGAGTACAGATCAACAAATCATTCGGTTGTGTAAAGGCGAAAATTGTGGTTAACAGGTCACAATGCATAGTTAAGATGTGTACATCCGAAGATATATCTGCTGCACCAGACAAAGTGGTGGCGAAACAACAGATTAACTTGAGGGAATTGTATTTTATGCTGCAGAGCGTACCCGGAAGGATAGGATCCGAGTTGTGACTTGGATGAAGCTATCGATTCGGAGGGGGTCAATGACGATCCAGTTGGACCTGTCGATTGAAAATTAGAAGATGATATAAGGAAGAGCAGTATATGCAGAATTCTCACATACAAATCAAAATGAGTTATTCGCCTAGATTATAACGAAAAAGCCGACTGAAGTCGTATCACGAGTGGTGAACAGGTTGGAACCAATCACCCTAAACGGGAACGATTAGCTAAGTGGTCCAAGTGGACACTACTGGAAACCGACCAACCAAAATCGATTAATAGAAAAAGGTTGCAAAGGGATCTCTTTTCGGTAAATCGCATCAGGCAAATACTTCTATAAAGATGACCGAGATTACTGGCTAATGAAAGCTGAAGTACAAGAGACTGAACTGACTGACATTATTCAAAAGGAAGTCCAATCGATCAGATCAGGTGATGGGAGTCCGACAACTCGTTGACTTCTTCACAAAGCATGGCTCAGCCGAGATGTGAAAACACACTTGGTCGTCCTCGACAAATGCCTTCAGAAACCTATGTACTATAGTTTCTTTGAAAGTGTTTTGGCACACAGGAGAAAGGGTGTACAGACCAAGCCGAGGGGTACATCTCACTACTGGCACTTGACTTATTAAGCTAAACGTCTTAGTGACTTAGAAACGGACTTATCTTTGTGACATGCATAACCGACGTTACTACCGTTCAATGCATGGGGGTTTTGAAAAAATACATTTTATGTCATAAGACTTTTCCCAACTTACTTTCGTCAACTAGTGAATAGCGCACGTCGGTGCGATGCACAATGCGATCAGTGTTGTCACGTGAATTGCAAGAGGAGTGTGAATGACCCGTTCCATCTAGTTGTTCTCTGATCGGGGAGAAATCGGAGCTGGACCAGCGATCGACATGTTTGGTGCTGCTGCCATGACCATTGCTGAACGTCGCGGAATGCGTCTCTGTAGGATGAGATTGAAAGACGACAATCATCAATGTGCCGCATGAAAATACCTACTTATCCAACATGCAATTCGTCCACTACTATCCATTGTATTGAAGTAGGAGAGCCATACCGTAATGTGAATGCGAAACAGTCTTACAATAGAAGATGAAGCCGTTGCCTCATGGTCCCACAGAGCGTGGTTGTCTTCGAACCCGAATACCAATACAAGTATGTGTTATTAGCGTGCTTTTGGCACGTAAAATCCTTTTCATCACTAATAAACGCTATTTTACACAATAGTCATTAAACGTCACCAACCGCCAGTAATGGCTATAAAAGTTGCTCTACATTTCATAACTGACGACTGCAACCGCGTGTGTAATACTATATCATAGCCAAAGGCCACTGAGTAAATGAAATGTCCCATGATTTGTACTTTAGACCATACGCATGCCATGCGAACTGCTGCCCCGACGCACTCTCTTCGCTCGCACAGGACCAAGCTGAAAGAATAAGCGCGGTGGTCAGTCTATCACGTGGCGACAAACGATTAAAGCGCTGACTTCCAGTTTAGCTGTCATAAGTTCCACGCGTCTTCCGGGATCAAAGATGAAGAACATCGCTGGCTGGAAACTTTTTCGGAGACGGCGCAGAACTGGGCCAAATGGAAAATGTGTACAACTGTTTGTCTTGATTTTTCTTGATTTACATCGCAAGCATGAAACATTACAAAGAAAGATAAAACGGCGTGTGAAAAAAAGGAAGGCGAGATTCAAAAGCAAAAAACTTTCTTGGAACTTCCATTCTTTTTCTTTGTGATCTCTGTATTTATTACTTCCGTTTTATGGTTTCCGCTGGCTCTGCTTATCCTATAGACTGCTGATTATATATATATATATATATATATATATATATATATATATATATATATATATATATATATATATATATATCGGACCGTGCGCACCGACGCATAGCACAGATCATGTTTTTCGAACTGTTGGTTAGAATGTAATTGAGAAGAAGGTGTATAACTACCGATGAACCGTGGCAGTAATCGAAAAGAGTAACAAACAACAGGCACTCAAAACACTAGTAAGTCAGTCGATCTCGTACGTTAACTCATAGTAAAATCACCATCTGATAGAATGTGTAGTGTCCAAGGCAGGTGAAGTGATAGGTGCGTAGTGCATTCGTCAGATTCTCATGAGAATGGGGCAGCGGTTACAAAAACACGTTGATACAAAGAGCCACCACTATCAGAATAATGTACCTAAACGGCGCGTTCCCTACAACCCGCTGAGTAAGCATTGCTGTGGTGTACACTAGGCTAGGAGCGCGAAAAATCAGCCTTGATTGCAACACTATTACGGCACTGTTAGGAGACGATGGAGAAAAGGCTTCCGATAGTTCCCACATGGCCAGTTTGCCGATACGAATATGTTATCGCGTGATGCTTAGTCCCGGTTTACAAATATTCCGCGGCTAAAAATGGCAGAATGGGTATGCGAACCGATTTCAAAACTGTGTTAATCTAAAGAGGTCCTGGAAATTTACTAGAAGGACTGGTACTCAGGCGCTACTTAGAGCTGCAGTCCACTCGCCATAGTCGTATCTATCACCAGTACGATAAAAAGGTTGCAAAGCCTCTTCCAGAATTTTGATGGTGGACGTATTTGAGGCGAAATCACAACATGGCGCATCGGAAGTGCACACTAGAGAGAACAAGGTAGCTGAAATGTGTGTGAATTTTATGGGGGACATTTACATTCTACAAATAGGAAAAGGAAAACAAAAATGCCAAAAGCTTCTTAAAGGGTAGAATAGACTCTTCTATGAATGAATGAATGTGAATCCGAGGATTAGCCAATTCCTCTGGAGGTTGATGAGAAACACCGACGAGTCTTGAGGCAGTAAGGCACGTAGAGATCACACACGGTCTGGGCAATATGCTTTTGCAACACGCCACCATTTGGGCACCCACAAGCCTAATGCTATCCATCGCCCGCAGCAAGAAGCATCTACACAACGGACGTCAAGTAATAAATACAAAGAATTAACGATAACCAAGGGAATATGGTTGCCCTGAAACATCAGAAACGATGCAAACGGAGGCAACCAGATGGTGACGTTATCATAAAGAGCTATTCAGGCATACAACTGGGGGCAATTAGTCGGACGATTACTTATATCCCCAACCATGAGATGCTAGTGAGAAGAGACATTTCATCGCTCACTTTCAAATGGATTACCGAAAGAAGCCATTGCTTGCAAACCTTTGAGTCGATCGATACTTGTATACCAGCAGTCGGTGAGTGGAAAAGGTTGCTATCGCGAGCAATTAGCAAACAAACAACCGCATCCTCGGGTGAGCACCGGTACCAAACGATGACTAGTAAACTCAAGATGGTAACAGGTTGAGAGAGAATAAAGCGTACAGTTTCAACCCAAAAGCTCCTGTATCAACATGTAAGAAACCTGCGTCAGGTCAATAGGGCAACTCTTCTGTAAATATCGGAAGGACTGAAACTGACCAGGAAGCACGCGGTGAATGTCCTGCGACTGCAGTGTGCTCTAAGCCTTCGGCCACATAACCTCATCGACGCGTTACGAGAGAAGCTGTAGTGAAAATACCGTTGTGTATTCGTAAGCACAGCTCTTCCCGGGGTTGATCATATTCACCCGACGTCACTCGCCATGGTAGGAGAGAGCTCACTTGCGTCTTTGGCTCCATTCTTCCAGCGTTGTTATGAACAGACGTACGTACCCGACATGTGGAAATACGGGATGATTATTCCAACTCACAAGAGAGGTAATCGTCCCATCCAGCCAACTACCGTTCTGTAACCCTTCTACCGGTACTCACTAAGATCATGGAAGCCATTGTTGCCGATGTGCTAACGATTTACTTGGGGGAATGCACCCACCTTGCATAGGAACAGCATGGTTTTCGACGAAATCGATTGTACATCACCAGTTTGTTGCTATGACGATCCATCCGGACTGAGGCAGTAGACACTGGAGGAGGAGTTAATGTAGTCTATCTCGAAGGCATTAGGTTGGTTTGAATATGGCATCCCTTTTGCAAATTACAGGACTTCGGCACTGGTGATCCTCTCCTACAGTGGAACAGAAGCTTTCTTCTCCACCGGTGTTTGGAGGTACGTGGATCGCTGTCAGATCCCATCCAAGTCGAATGCGGAGTATCACAAGCATGTGACACCACATAAATTCGGACATACCGATGAGAGCAAGGTAGGAAGAACGGATTTGAATAGGATGTAGGGATGGTCAATACAAAATCTACTTCCATCTAATGTGGAACATGGTAGACTGCTGCACTTAGGACACCAGCTAATGTGTTAACATAAACCGCTCAACCAGAAGCTTCAAACGTCTTCCAGCGAGAAGGATAGGAGCGCTTGGATTCAGACCGACCTTGGCTGTCAGGATCAGGCTGAAATGGCGTCAGAAAGGGGCATCAAACGTGGATCTTTTGCACCGTGCATTGCGACGCTTCGAGTCGTCAAATTTACATGAGCATCCCGGCACATACGCCCACACGTGGAATACGCAACACAGGTCCGGCGGCCATAGCTAAGGAGATATCCAATGGATTTCGAGATACCTCAACGCCGGGTAAACCAAGGACGTCAAAGGCTTGTATTATTTATTTTATAAACAAAGGCTGCGAATGTCCGAGGTCATCAGCAGACGATACCAGCGATTGCGTACGTTTATTATGACCTGTTAGATTTTGAGGGACCTCAACCACGCGTGCCATCACAACAGCAATATGTTGGCAGAGCAGTACAGTAGTTTGGAATATCGTCGTAATTTGCACTGAGTGCGAGTGATATAGCAAGTTGAACGCACCCACGGAGTGGTCACGCTTATCTGCTCGACCATGTCATCGTACGTCAGCGTGATATGCGTGAAGTGCGCAAAACAGATGTACTGCGTGGAGCTGTGTGGAACTGATCACGAGTTGGTGCAAACCAAAATGTAAATGTACGTGCGGAAAAGTACGTGTATGTGCCTTCCGTGAACCGGAGGCGTAAACTTAACGTTCCCTTCGTACTGTGGCGAAACATATTGAGCTGGAGAAGGCGATGTGTGTGTGATGTGATATGCATAGCCACAGTGGGCGACCCGTATCTAAGGGCGAAGGGAGAAAGCATTGTTGCACGAATTATAGTGGTATCAACTTGCTGAGTTGTGTGGGGAAAGTGATCGCCCGAACCCTGCTCAACCGCCTCGTCAGTCAGGTCATTGAACCGAACGTGGCGAAAGAGCAATATAGATTCCGTTTGGGAATCAGCACCGTATCTACGGTGGTCATAGCTCGCCAGCTGCAGGAAAAATGCAGAGAACGACACCAGCCATTGTACTCGCAGTTTGTTGACTTCACCAAGGCATTTGATATGGTGAACCGTAAGGCACTGTGATTAGTTTTGGGTAAGTTTGGTTGTCCGAGTAAGTTTGTAAATTTAATTGAATGTGCACAGTGGCATATGGACGAGGATGAAGCTGTGTGGACAAACCTCGGATGACTTTAATGCGGTCTGGTATGAAGCAAGGCTGTGTTTTAGCTCCTGCTCTGTTTAGTATTTACCATCATGCAATGATGTCCTGTACTTTTGATACTGCTTGTGATTACGTTGTCAGTTTGGAACACCGTATTGATGGTGAGTTGCTGAACATCCGTCGTTTCGGTGTGAGAACCCTAGTCTGTGAGACAACTATCCGTATGCGGCTGTTCGCTGACGACTGTGCGTTGTTTGCGTACAGCGCAGATGAGTTGCAGCACACGACTAGTGCTCTGGCTTCGACAGCGGCCAAATTCGGACTCACCATAAACACAAGCAAAACTGTCTGTCTTCTTCAGCATTCACCCGGAATGGATTTCGTTGGCCTACATCAAATCCAAGTTGCCAACGAATTGTTGGAAACCACTCCGAGATTCTGCTACCTTTGGAGCGTAAATAACAACCGACCCGCAGATGACGAGCGAGC